GGAACTATTCTCATTTCCATATTACAAATGTGAAAATGAGGCACGAAAGACCAAAAAAAAAAAATTCCCCCCCTCAGGTTTACTCAGCCAGGAGGTTGAAAAGCTAGGTATAAATGCAAACTCATGAGATTCTTATTGCAGGATGCAGGGCAGGGCAGAACTTCTTCCCTCTTGACGCTCTTCCTCATCCATGTGGGGGAAAGTCCACTGTGATGACATCACTGGCCTGCCTTTCCCCTCCCCACCATTCACTTTCCCTTCTTAGAGAGGGAATGGCTTACCCGACTGGCAAGTTTGTAAACCTGAGGCAGTTGCCCACAATGAGTATTCAGTTAGCTCTGGTTGTCCATGTAATGCAATTTTAGACATAGAAGAATCATCCTTGGAACAACTCTTGTCTTTGAATGCATAAATATGCTTAATTCTGAGGTATGTTTACTCGGCTTTTGTGTCACTTTTACCCAAAAAAACCTGACAAGAACAACTTAGAGGAGGAAAAGTTTATTTTGGCTCATGTTTTCAGAGGTTCAGTGAGGGTCGGCCAACTCTGTACCTCTGGGCATGAAGTGAGTCACAGCATTATGGCAGAAGGACATGGCAGAAGAGGGCTGCTCAGGACCAGGCAATGGGAAAGCTCAAGAGTGCTCACTCCCCAAGGGCCAAAATATAAACCCCAAAGGCACACCCCCAGTCACCAACAACAAGTGGCCTTGTCAGAAGAAAGGCCTTCAGCCACACCCAACCTGCCTACCTTAATCCCTATTTATGGATTAATCCACGGATCAGATTAACACCTCTCACAACATAATATTTTGCCTCTGAGAATTCTTACACTGCCTTATACCTGGGGAGACACCTGGGAAGATTTTGGGAGCTATCTCTTGTCTAAATCCTAATGTGGGGTGTGATATTAGGTATTTCACTTGCCTACAGCTATAAACCACATTCTCCAACATTATCTATATAAATAATAAAGTTCCCAATTGCCCTTAACTTTCCCTGTAGGGTAAACTTGGATAGAGAAGAAGATACTGACTTTCAGGCTTCTAAAAATGTCAACTGTGCTGAGGCCCTTATTTGACTCACTCAGGATTCCAATAAACAGAATCCAAAATAACATTTGATTAGATCTCATTCACATCAAAATTTCAGTATTTATTCACAAGTGTTTTTTGTTATAAATTGTATATCTTAGTAATTTCACACACAAAAATAATCTAAGTGACAAAGTAGAAATTACATCTCTGTGCTTATTTTAGAAACATAACTAAGAATATTTGCAATATGAAAAATTCACTTTGAGATAATCCAGACAGATCCCATTATGGGCTTAATGTGTTTGGCTTTAAGTTTCTAGAAAGTTGTAAATTCAAGTTTTCACTGGGGAGTCATAATATATAAAAAAAAATGTTTGGAGCATTTTAAATTAATGAATAGTTAAAAGACATTTTGGAAATTTAAAATATACACACTTTAAATAATAACTTTACTCAAAATATATTTGCAAAATTGATTTTCCATCTACATAACTATATACAGGTAAATGTTGAACTTTTTTATATACATAAAATTCTGTGTACTGTTATTTAATATTGACTTGATGATAGATGTGGATATTCTGCCAGATTATAGTTTGCTAAGGTTACAGTTAAATATCCCCCATCAGCACTTGCCATTTCTTCAGCTCTTACTCTGTCTATTCTTCTGTCCATGGGGGTCTGGAGGTGGGTGGGGGTGGGTGGGAAGTCCAGACATCCTAAAAGGCAGGTTCCACCTGAGCCACCATCTGAACATATAGTGAAAAGAAATGGTTGTCTTGGCAACAGGAACAAAATTAATGCTCTCAAAACCTGACTTCTTCTACTCAGGTAACCTTTTAGTTCAGCAGTTTTCAGATATACTTTGATACTAAAAGTCAGATCTCTTATTACCAGTGGAAATTTATCAGCTGAATGCCCTTTTTATTTCTTATTCAAGAGTCGGGTCCCTCAAATTGTAATTTTACTTGGGGCACTTGGGCCATACAACAAGACTTTCAATTATCACAGCTGAGCAAGTTTCAATGCACTTAAATAACAATTTAATCTGTAAATCAAAGTGTTTGCCATAGAAATTGTAAAACTTCTGTAAATCTTCTGTGTTTTATTACAACATGTTTAGCAATTCTAATATTTAAACCCTTTTTTTTCCTGATTGACAAAGTAATATAAATTCTTTGTAAAAAAATTCATAAACTATGGAAAAATTAAAGAACATCAAAATTATGTTAAAATAGATCATTCAATTATTTTGTTACTTTTGATTTCAGTCTTTGTCTTAGGCACATTTTGGAATGGTGTCCTACATTTTCACTTTTTGTCCTTTATTCTGTTTCTCAGGAATCTGTTGCTTAATCATTTACTCTATCACTATAATAGTTTGCAATGACAGCATGATATTATATCAGTATTGTATTTGAACTATTGTACTATTTTCAATTTGTACCTCTGTATTATTTTTAGTTAAAATTACTGTAAAATCCCTTCGTTTCTTTGTCTCTCATTATTTCTTAGAATGTATTCTTTCAAGTAGTACATTGGATCAATCTATGTGCAATTTTTCAGATTTTCTTAGGTTTTAACTATTCTCTAGATTCGAGAATATTTCAATAGTCTGGAAAATTTTCATCAATTTGTGCTTTTTCCATCAAAGTGAGAACACTCTCGTTTCCTACTCTATCTGGCTTGGAATGTTCCAGTTCCCACAGCAAAATAGTCTCAGTGGGAGAATTTTGATAATCATTTCTTTGTTACTGAGGCTAAGCATTTCTCATACTTTATTGAAAATTCAGATTGATTTTTAAGTAAATTATATAAATTCAGTCTTTGCCCGTTTCTTTGTTGGCAAGTTTTCTATTGTCAACTTTCATTTCTTCTTTTTTTTTAAAAAAAATAACAAAAAACAAAGTTTGTTTGTTTATACTTTCTGAGATACTAGGGGTTGAACCCAGGGACATTCTATCACTAAACTACACCTCCAGCCTTTTTAATATTTTACTTGATACAGGGTTTCACCAAGTGGTTTAGGTCCTCACTGAGTTGCCTAGGCTGACCTCAAAGTTTCAGTCCTCCTGTGTCAGACTCCCAAGACACTTGGACTACAGGCAGGTACCACCTAAAAGTTTTCTTGTCTTTTATAATTTTGTGGAAGTCAAATGAATCTTTCCCCTACTAGTGTCTTCTTCCCTTTTGCACATAATCCTTCTCAAACCCAAGTTTGGGGGGGGGTTCTATATTTTCTTCTGAGTGATTCATGTTAACATTACACTAAATTCAGTTTTGAAATTAATTTTATTGCCTGGTTAGAAGAGAAGACCTTTGTCGAATCAACACACTCACAGTAATTTTTTAATTATGGCACTAATTCCGTGACATACATATTACTACTACTCTGCCCAGAATATCAGGAGGCAAGGAAATATTGCCATGATACCTGGTCAAGCATCTTATAAACAGCATGTGAACTGCTATTATCCACATTAACATGGAAAAACTTCCCAGAAACACTGCTGATGTAAATTAGCCTTCTTCAAGGACTTCCTAAAGTGCTGGCTTAATCACCCTCAATTTCAGGACTGGATCATTCAATTCTAATCTTCAGAATCATGCCACCCAGACGATCCCTTTACTTCTGGTGAACTTCAGGAGGCAGTGCTTCTGCTAAGTACCCCTTCTCACTAGAGTCTGCACAGCCATCTCCCCTTAGTAATCAGACCCTGACGTCTTCTCCTTTTTGGAGGGTGATGCGGGTCAGATTCCAGACATTGACCTTAGGGGTACTCCGCTACTGAACCACATCTCTGGCTCTATTTTGTACTTTATTTAGAGACAGGATCTCACTGAGTTGCTTAGTGCCTCGATATTGCTGGGGCTGGCTTTGAACTCATGATCCTTCAGCCTCAGCCTCCTGAGCTGGTGGGATTACAAACATGTGTCATGGCTCCTGGCTGATTATCTACCTGACCTCAAGTATCAAACAGGTCTTTTCCCTTAATTTCACAAACACAAGAGCAAATACCAGAAGAAACTTTTCATGGAAATTTGCCAAAGGTTTGGAGATAGTGAAAGTGACTTTCACAGTAGAGAATGAGAATGGAAGTGACAATAGTATGGTAGCTCAAAAGTTCCTGCCTTTTCACTAGAGTGACCGTGATTCCAAGGAGCCAGAGGCAGCTCATCCGGTTACCAGAAGAAGAAGGTCAATGTTACCACCCGAAAAGTCCGCTCACCCCAAGATTTCCTGTACTACTAAGGCTCCAGGCATCTTTGTGCTCTAGTTGGAGCCTAAGTGGCCCATGGCCTTAAAGTGGGGTTGGGATTTTCCCATTTACTTGTTCGGTTACTACTAACTCACATCCTGAGTCTTGATCTTCTCCATCTGGTCACCCTTGTTTTCTATAATAAATTGCTGAGTAATTTTCTGAGTCTGGTTTTATGTCACAGTGGTTCAGAGTCCAAAGGCTTTTCTATTTTGTGGTTAGTTCACCTCTTTTAGTTTGAACTAAAAGGGCTTTCAATAAACAATACATCCTTTTAAAATCAGTCAGTGTGAATTTTTGGTTAATCTCAGTGGGGTCTTTGCTGTAGTGGACGAAAGCCTCACATATACATTTCTTTTGGAGAGGTTCTTCCAAACATTGGCACTCTTCTAAGGCATCTGTGGGAAAAGTCATTTAAATCCTGAGGTCCTGTCATTTAACAAGGACTACACAGATCCTTAGAAGAATCTTATTCGAATTGAAGCCCTATCTTAACTGAGGTGTTAGCAAAATAGTGACACACTGGTGGCTTCATATTTAGATCATGACTTTCTGGAAGCTTCCTGGATTTAATCTCTTTGTTGTCCCTCTGGAGAGTTTGGGAATGGGAATAATTTGTATTTTCAATGATGGCAAGTGTGTAGACTTCATATTTTAGAGTTTCCTTAGGTTTACTTCTTTATCTTCTCATATTTTCCATTAGGCAGTTGGATAAACCCTCAAGATCCACACATCTAGAGCTAAGAGCATGCACTGGGGAAAGGAAAGGCTTTCCAGTTAGTGGTACTGGTAAAGTGGATGTCCACATGCTGAAGAAAGAAACCAGTATATCTCCTAACAGTTAAAAAAATCAACTTGAAATGGATTAAGGCTTAAACGGAGAACCTGCAATTGCAAAACTACTAGAAGAGAAATGCTTGGGGACTTTGGAATGGACAAGGAATTTTTTTAGACAAGATTCCTTGAAGCACAGAAAATAAAAGCAATAATAGACAAGTGGGAATACATCAAAATAAAGAGTCTACACAGCCAAGAAAGCAATGCACAGAGTGAAGAGACACAGCCTAAACGATGGGAGAAGACAACATCTAACAAAGGGTCAAAACCCAGAATACATAAGGAATTCCAAAAACTCAATAGCAAAAGTCCAAATAACCAAATTTAAAAATGAGTAATAGATCTAAATAGTCATTTCTCCAAAGAAGACAGTCGAATGAACAACAGGTATATTAAAATATGCTTGACATCATTAATCATCAAAAAAATCCAAATCAAAACTGCAGAGAGATTCACCTCCCCTCAGTAAGAATGGCATTATGAAGAAGACTAAAGGTAGAATGTGCTGCAAGGCTGTGGAGACATGGGGACCCTTCCACACTGTCAATGAGGACAGCCACTATGGAAAATAGCATGGGGGCTTCTCAAAGAAATTAAAAATGGAACTATCACATGATCCAGCAATTCCATGACTGAGTGTATATTCAAAGGAAATGGAATCAGTACACCAAGGAGACATTTGCATTGCCATGGTCACAGGAGCACTGTCTACCACAGCCAAGGGACAGAAGCATTGTCTGCTGAGGGTTAAAGGCTGTGTGGTTCCTATACACAGTGGAACACAAAAAGTGAAATCCTGTCCTTTGCAACCACAAGGACAGAACTGGAGATCATTTTGCTCAATGAAATAAGGCAGGCACAGAAAGACAAGTATTTGCATCATCTCTCTCCATCTCAGAGAAGTTGAGAATAGAATAGAGGTTCCAGGGGCTGGGGAGGGGAGCAGGAAAGGGTGATCAATTGGTTCTAAATGACGGTGAGGTAGGAATAAGAAGTTCTGGTGTGCTGTTGCTCAGTAGGGTGACCAGAGATGATAATGCCCAGTTGTATATTACAAAAGCTCAAAGAAAGGATTTTAAAAGTTGTTAACCTAAGGAAATGTAAATGTTGGAGCAGATAAGTATGTTTAACCTGATGTAAACATTACACAATGTACATATGAATCAAAACACTTCACGGTGATCGATTAATATGTGCGATTTTTGCTTTGTGTATCTGTTAAAAATAAATTCAATTATAAAAGCCATAACAGTAACAAAAGCATAAATTTAAGTGATATAAATAAGCAGTCCAAACAAATACATAAAATACATACGGGGTAGGAAAAACTGTGCATTATTCAGTTAGCAATAAAATTTTTATAAGAAATAAAACAAAAATAAAATCATAATTTGCCTCAGTTTAAAGAATATTTTAAAGATTAATATTTTTCAGTTAAAAAAAACTTTCAGCCTCATATACTAGAGAAAAAAACACTACTAATTGAGAGAAGCATGGAGAGGGCAATTTAGTAGCTATTAAAATTAAGATGTCTATCATAAGGTAATTAAAAAATATTCTATTTATATATATTATAAAACAAAATCTAACACTATTCAGTGATTTAAAAATTAATTAAGTTCATATCCAATGATATAGCATTTTCAAATATATTTAAAGTCTCAATATTTTCAGTATCAAGTAAGCCTAAACATAAAATTTACATAGAGGCATATAAAATAAATGACATGTAACATTCATACAAACGTATAAAAACTCCAAACTCCAAGGTGGCTACTTAATTAGTGTAGGGAGGGAATAAAAATGGACTTTTAATATCTTATTAATTTCTTAATATTTATAATGTATATGATGAGCATGTACTTGTGGATCAATTTTTCAATTGTGATAACATAAATTTACATTCTATAACTTACAAAAAGATTGAGAAGTTCTTGAGGCAAAAAATTTAACATTGATAATTCAACAAAGATTTAAAACTGGAATGATAAATATAAGATAAATAAATTACAGCATATAATATGAATAAAGCATGAACTAAAGCCTGCTTTTAATTCTCTGTCAGTATTTTAAAAACTAATAGAATAGAAGAGAAAAACAAACACCTACGGTGTGTATGACTTTTCTTCTTCCTCTTTGTCTTCTCCAGGGATCTACTAAAGGATTAAGAAATAAATGAAGCTAAAATATTGTGTGGAGCATAATGTAAACTCTTTGGAACCCTTGAGGATCGTGATGGTCTGAGTAAACTCATTCTTAGTTGAAAATTCACCCTAAAATTTTCAACAGTGTAAATTTAGTTTAATTAATTCAAATAACAATATTTCTAAAATATAAAGTCTCCTGACTTTTTAAATGTGGTCCTGCTGTTATTATTATATAAGATAGTGATAGGTTCAGAACCTGTCAAAGTATAAATTTCCACTTTGTCCTGTATCTATGTCTATGAAACAGTAGCTACCATTCTTCCTGAATGGCTCAGTACAGATCATAGCCTAAGCAAAGATTTGAAAAGAAAGTTAATGTTAAACTTGCATCTCAATTTCAACCTTGTATTTTGAAAATTAATAAATAAATATAAGAAAAAAACCCAAAACTAGTAGCTGAGATTATCCTACATTATCCCCTGCTGGAATCCACTAACAAAATCTACTAATGAAATTGAATGTTTTCCGTAGTTTCTGAAATGTTGAAAGTGATCATTTTCTGTTAATAGTCATAGACTTACTTGGTGATGGCGGCTCCTGTTGTAATTTTTTCTTTCTAAATTTGACTTAAAAGTTGGATAAAAAGTTGAGGGCACTATGAGTTAAGTAAAAAATAAGTCATTTCAAGAAGTAAATGAAATAAATCATCTCTGAACAGTAGCTCCAGAGGCTTTTTGCTAAAGTAATAGTCAATTTGAACTTTCTCTAATTGGTTTTCTTTCCAGGAGTCTTAATTTCTTGATTCACACTTTGTACCAGGTTCCAAACAGATATTATTTTGAGGTGGCTTGGGCTAGAATTCATGATATGTGATGGGCATGATTGCAATTTTCTTTTTCTTTCTTTCTTTTTTTTTAATAAATGTGGCAGAGTTTTTAAAGTACTTTTTCATGGTGAGAGTATTGACTGTATATGAAATGAAATAAACCCATATTCATCCTTTGAAATTTACTTCCCCAAACGGTCAGCTCTAGCGGATCATCAAAGCCTGCATTTTGTTGGTGAGGTTCCCAGATTCCTCTCTGATAACCACCCATGGGATCACACCTTGAGCAGTCATGGCCGCTGGGACATCATATTGCAAGGATGTGCTCCTAGGCCCAACTGTACTTCATGGGACACCAATGGAGAAAAACTGCCAACCTGCATGATCCTGGGAACTCTTTAAGACAACAATGGGGAAGACAGTCATTTACGTACTGAATGCCACTCCACCCTATTCAGCACATTTCACAGAGTATCTCATTTTCTAAAGCACTTTGACAGGTCACCTTTAATGAAATCAAAGCTTTTAAGGGGAAAGGACTGCTGATATTGCAGCCCAGATATTCTCTCTCTACCAGATGGGCATGGTGTTAGCTGCTCAACTTAGCACAGTGTTAGCTGCAAGATGCATGAGTTCCAAAATGATTCTAAGTGTTCATTTAACATGAGGCTTCCTTTGAGAAAAGGCTGCCAGTGGTGCATAATTGTACCAAATGTGCAGTAGTTTCATAATGTGGGCTGTAATCCACTAGGAACTAAATCCTGCTATTACTCTCTTTAGGGAGACTTCTAAAATTCTACTCTTATTGTGAATAGTAACCTGGAGTAGTTAGGGGTTATTGGAAATCTCCTTAAAAAATCACTGCGCGTGTGATGAAGCTTTCTCTGTGCAAGCCACAGTAATGCATTTATCAATTTGGTTATCCCTAGAGCCATAAGATGGAGCACCCAACACTTTACATAGTATGGCTCCAGTTAGAATAGATTAGAATTTTTAAAATTAGATAATCATTAACTTCCTAAATAACTGGAATTTTTTTTTTTTTTTGTAATGACACAAAGAGAACCTATTTCTATGGGATCAGCGGGTGGTACATAAGATTTGATCTTATGAAAATATAGAGGTGTGTAGAAACACACATTTCATAGGGAGATTTCAATTCACTATTCACATATGTGTGTGTGTGTGCGCGTGCACGCGGGTGTACATGTGCATGTGTATCTGCAGAGTTGACATTCACTAATCTAAAGAACAAACCCAGCAGTCCCTTCCAGCATAGCCCTGTTCTGTAACTGTTCAGGCCAGAAGTAAGAGCTCCTCATCAAACTGAGCCAACTAGGAGCCTTTAACAGAAGCAGAACTGAATTAACCAAATTGAAATTTAGCCAGAACACTGAAGCTTGTGCCTGCACTCTTCCAGAAAGCACTAGCACAGGACGCTGGTTTTCTGTCTTATTGGAAATCTGATGCCCATGGTCAAAAACTGCTTCGCATTCCCATACTATTCGGCAACCTAGAGCTGAAGCTGACATTTTTAAAAAACAAACAAACAAAAACGACAGTGACAACAACAAAAAAGCTGGACAAATAGTAGATTGGTCCAATCAGAACGCACTGGTGAAGGAATTTTATTTTTTACAAGAAAAAATGAATAATTAAAGATTATAGCTCCCTACCCCAGCTGACAGTTCTCTTTTTTATGCCCCAAGTCAACCAATATGCTGTATGCGAATGCTAATGATTGATGGTAAAAATTAACCCTACTACTTACTTAAGTAAAAAAAAAGAAAAAGGAAAAAGATGAACAATAATTTTATTCTGTATGCTGCCACATAATTTGTATGTAAGGATAGCATATTTTACATTTCTGCTATTAGTAGATCTTCCATACACCATCATATAATAAAAATATTAATGGATTTATCACATAAGCATTGTAGTAATAAAGAGTCAAGATAGTAATTCAGAACTATCAATATTAATAGAAATAAGCTGCATGGTAGTTGTCTAATTACAGCCTGAAGAGGCCTTCTTCAAAGCCTCTACTGGGAAAGAATTCTCTGATACTATGCAATTATAATCATAATATATATATCAATTGATGAAAATGGTATTTCAAAATTTCTAAAAACCGTGCAATGTTTCAGAAAGACCTAATAAATAGATAATAAATGCATCTCTTAAAATGAAAAAAAATGGTTTAAAGCACTTTGGTAGCTTTAATTATTATTATAAGATTTGGCTCTTATTAACTAAAGAAACATTAAAGGAAAGGTAATTCTGATGTTAGTTAAAAGGAATGATAATGTAATTCAATTTACCCATGTAATAGTCCTCGGTTTAAGTTTTATGTTTCAAATATCACGTAATTATCTAAGTCTCTCTACTTGTGAGTTGAATTTATTTCTCATTTATCTTGATACTCGTAGAGCTAATCCCAAAAGTTACTCTAAATGTACTGCTCCAGCTTTTCTATTTTTGCTGGGATCAGGGGGTCAGAACACTATGCTCATGAGGTCAGGGTCATCCTCATTAGTGTTGCTCTCTTCTGAGGCCACTGATTATGCCTTTGGTCCTGAGAAGCCTGGGGTGCCTGGAAGGAAAAGCAGATAGATCCAGAAAATTCTATCCTAACCATCAGTGCCCCCACTAATGGCAGGTCAGGACTGTCATTTTCATATACAAAGAATAGAATACCACCACTCTCCGGTCTCTATATTGTTCTTAAATTTCCTCATTGGAAAAAAAAAAGAAATGCCTGTCAAGAATAAGTCAAAAATAAGTCAGAGTGTTTTAATTTAAAAGTAACATTTCTTTATTAATTAAGGAAGCACTTTCTATGAGCTTTCAATTTATATGATAATTTATAAAATGGTCAAGTTAAAAATTTCGACCTAATATTTAGTGTCATGAGGAAATTCTGGTAATATAACTCTCACTAAATTATGCTCACAGAGCAATCTTAAGTGGGGTGGGAAATTTTATATGTTATAATTCCAAAAGATGCTGTGTAGTATCGTATACCTGAAAGAAACAATCCTCAGGAAACACAAAATCAGCATACAAAAGGCATCAGAACGAGGGAGAAAAGGAGAGGAGGAAAAAGGGAGAGAGATGACAGGGTGGCAGAAGTAACTATAAATGATGAAATTTGTCACCCAGGATCCAAATGGGTCTGAAGTTGCCAGATTTGTTTCTAGAAATTTTTAGTTATATGAAACCACTAATCTTTGTTGTTGTTTTCTTTAAAGAGTCCTAACTAATCTACCTGACAATGCCTCAATGAATAGGTAATTAATAGAGAAATAAAGTACATGATACGTTAAAGCGTGTGAAGGTAGACAGATGATACAGACATACATATGAGTATACTACATAGATAGGCAGTCATCCCTGTCTGATACAGAAATATTTAAATTGCTGATTGACTTCATAAATTTTCCAGTAATGACTCTTCTTCCCATTTCAAAAAAAATATATTTTTTTTTCAAAAACAAATGTACTTTGAGCAACAAATGTACATTTTCAAGTATTATAACATGCCAAAGAGAAGTTCCCATGAAAACATTCTTCATTCCTCCTTCACTTTGACCAGATGTGGTAAAACAGGGAAAGCCCTCAGCTGGATAAGGAACAGAGACAGGGAAGCTTTAGAGAGGCCGGGTGACATGAAAGGTCCTGGCCATTCCTGGCTATCACCCTGCAAGGAAGAACCCTTGCAATTCTGCATGGCATTTGCAGATAGGAGCAGTATTTGTCTTCCATTACTGACCCACCTGGAAACATACGCCTCCTGTGTGCAGACTGAAGGACACGGCCTAACTTGGCCCTCAGCAAAGAGTATCTGCATACACATAAAACAGCAGGTCTCACTGATAGGCAGGTCCCTTCCCTGCCATTTTCCTTTTTAAACAATAGCCAACATTTTAGCTCAGGCTTCGGGTTCTTCCTCTCTGCCTGATGAACCCATCCAGTCATCCAGTGTTTTTTTCTTTTTCTTTTTCTCTTCCCATCCCTCCTGCTGCTTAGGTACCAGCAAATCCTGACAGTATATAGATGCCTTGCTTTTGCAACTACTGAGCTGGGACTCCAGATCTTTAACTTTCAAAGCTCTGGCTGAGCTTACAGGATTGTCATTGTATGTTAAAGAAAACTTCCAGGAAAACTGTTCTCTGGAGGATTCCTATAAAATACTGTACTTTAGTTCTACTTAAAGGGAAGGTAACCCAAGCAAAAATAACAGACCATTAGAATGAGGAGAGTGAAAACCAAGATCGTCGCAGAGGAAACCCGTTCAGACTGTAAACTGTGCTGTGTTAGTAAGTTTGGAGGAAAAATAAGGTGAAGTTTAAAAAAAAATTTTTTCAAAAAAGGGGAGGAGTTTAGACTATGTGTGGCCTGATTCTTACCTAATTAGGGGCAGGCCTCTGTAAGAACACAAAACTATGAATGCAAAGAATTCATGTCCATAGATCTATGATAAGAAAAGAAGTAAGGGGTATAGTGTGGTTCAAATAAGTGTCTCCACAGGCCCATGTGTCAAGGCCTGGTGAGATAAGGAGGTGGTGGAACCTTCAGGAGGTAGATGTAGTGGGAGAAAGTTAAGTCATTGGAATGTGACCCCCAGGGGGCTATTGGGACCCAGCCCCTCTTCTTCCTCTCTCTTTGCTTCCTCAACCATGTGCTGCCCCCACAATGAGCTGCCTCACAACAGGCTCAAAAGGAACAGGACCAACCAACCATGGAATGAAATAAAATTTCCTCCTTCTGCATTTATTTATCTCCATTATTTTCTTATAGAAATAGATGACTGACTAACACAGGGATCCATATCCCTTTCCCCCTTGAATAGCATTTCAGCCACCGACATTTAATTACAAATATTTTTCTAAGCAAATTTTCTCCATTCTCAGATACATTTTTTTAAAAAATTCTAACCTATGAATCATGTTTAAGCACAACGTCCTTGTGCATGTTCAAATGTCCTCGAGTTTCTTCTTACTTCATTTTTTGTAACTTCCCTATGACCTATGCCCTTCCCCTCCTATGTTCCTAACACTCTCTACAAACTCCTGACTACTGTTGTTTCTTGCTCTTTCTGACTCAAACGCCCTCAG